TTCACTAATGTGGAATGATGAGGACTGTCTTGACAGAACTGTTTAAGTGTGGTAGGGAACATGTAGGCTGACTACAGGTGAGCACTTTCTTTGGAGGTCCAGGCTAGGTATCTTGGAACCATCAACTTGAAAGGATAGGTCCTGGTGAAAAACTTTAAAATAAGCATCAACCTGTAATGGTGTGCATTTCTAAATCATCTTTATTTGATTTTGAACTAAGTTTTATATAATGTACTGTATTTATTAGTAGGAGAGATAGATGTTCTAGAGATTCCCATGAACAGACAAACCTTGATGTTAAACATAGATACTGAGCTTTAGTCTTTAAGCACTTATCTTTAACACTTGCTTCTCTCTCTCTAGGAGGGGCTATCTGTAGGCAGCCTTTGTGATTGAGGATAGAGCAGCAGCAGGAAGCAAGAAATATTAGAAATCAAGAATCCTGAATTCCCAAATAAGGAAGGTTTCCTGTTCTTACATTTAAATATGGGTTTGTCTGAGCTGGGAATTTACAACGCTTCAGAATACTAGGGTATGTTTTACTGAAATCATTAGGAAGATTTTTTTTTTCTATCAAAATTGCCTCCTTAACTGATACAGAGCATTCACAGTAAAATGTAAATAAGCTCTGTATTTTAAGTACACATTACAATGTAAAGCAGTGATCAAATTCTATTATATTTACTAGCTGTATCACAAAGTTGAATGATGATATTGGACTGCTTTGATTATGAAACTAATTAAATTAGATACTTTTAAAAATTATTAAAATGAAAGCCATGTTGATTTAAAAGCTGAATAATTAATGAAGAATATGTTTGTTGTATATAAGGAATCAAGATGGTGAATTATCAAGGGGTATTTATTTTTGTTGTTTATAAGTAAAACAAAATTTGGGATAATTTTCTCCAAAACTAAAATCATCTTAAGCAGAAAGGGCAATTCTGTTAGTTAAAAATATTCTACATTAGTTTTAAATGTGAATTTTTAAAACCATATAACCAAAAATTAAATTAGTTTAGTGATACAGACTCTGGAAACAGATTAAAATGTCTTTGAATTTTCCAAATTGGTATCTGCTGGATCTAAGGGTGAAGTATCTTTGGAAATGCCTTAAAATTAGGGCAGTACAAATAATTTAAAAAATCTATTTGTAAAACTTTTCTATTATAGCTATTTGATCATTACATTATATATATAATTTTATGCTTTACTATCTAGTAATGATGGTGTCTTTGAACTTTGTGTTGAAATAGCTTATATTTTTCTTACAGTATACATTAACAAAAATTGAAGATTTGCTTAATTTTTAAATATCTGTTTTAATTTATTGAAGTATGCTATGAAGATTAACTCAAAATAACTGAATTTCTTTTCTGTTTCCCCTTTGAAATGCTTTGCTAAACTGTTCTAAGGTCAGAAATGGATACCATCATTTCTCAGTAGCAATAGCAAAGATATTTTATCTACTCTAGGTAGCTTGTTTTCTGAGCTATTTACTTTTGTTAACTTGGAGACGATAACTTGGTTTTAAGAAATTTTTCTGATTGACTGAACCTGAACCAAAGAAAATCTATTAACTTATTTTCTAGTGTTAACTAGATTGTTTTGAGGAAATGTAAGTATATGCAGATTGTGATAATAGATAGCAATGTTTTTCCAACTACTGCTTTTTCTTCTGTTTTCTTTCTTTTTTTACATGATAGCAGTAGAACCTTTCAAGTGAAATCCATAGATAAATTCATGGCAATTGTGAATAAGGAAAAAAGAATAAAAACAAAATCTTACTCAGAACCTCATTATTTAGAACAGATCAAAATGGAATGGCTCAGATTAAAACTATCAGTTTGAACACTGTAAAGGAAAAAGTGCCATTTAGCTGATGTCAACAGAGGACATTTAATAAAGAAAATGGGATTGTGTAATTTCAGAGTTTTTGAAAGATTGAATACATCTGATATGGAATACATTTTTTGAACACAGAGTGGCTTTCTTTGGATCTTAGTATTACATATTGAAATAGCTATAATAAAATGATAAAGTTTAATTTTTATGTCATGAACTTTGCAAATTCCAATAAAAAATTATTAAGGACTCATGTCTCTTACAAGTACACAGGTGGACAAAGAAGGTTTACAGTTGTTCATATGGAAAAAGATGTGCAGGTATGATTATCACAATAACTTTATTAACTCTGTTTAACATACTCACAACTGTAAACCTGCTTTTGCCCACCATGGTATATATATATCATATTGTGGTTTATTAATGGACCAAGCTATTTTGTTGTTAGTCCAATAAAGCTAGTTGATGGGCTTTATACAATACTTAATATATGCCACACACTCTTCTAAGATTATTAATTCCTTTTTCCCCCCATAAACACCTTAGGAATAAGTTCTATTAGTATCTCCATTTCACTAATAAGGTAACTGAGAAACAGAGAGAGACTATGTTACTTGCTCAAGGTAATACCCAAGGACAGGCTATGAAAATAGAATATAAATTCAGAGCCTTTACACGTCTTAATATTTTTTTAATAAACATTGAAGGGAACATATTTTCATTTATTATTTTATCTTTTTAGAAATGTTTATGAAAATTTACCTTAAAAATAGAAATAAAAATATAGTTTGAAACTTTGGTAAAAATAAGAAGTACTTAAAAGTTTTTACTTATAAATATTCTTTGGAATTATAAATGTACTAATATAACCTAGACTAAGAATTACATACAGTAAATGCTAATGTGGTAAACAACAATCACATTCATGATGTTGAGTTCTTTGAACTAGAATTACTACTGGTTGTGCATTATTAAAAATATGTGGACAGCTTTGTCGCCACTTGTAGTGATGAAGGGCTGCCTCCTGCACATGGGATAGAGCCCACAACCCAGGCAACATGAACAGTATAAATACAAACTTAATTCAATTTTGTTTTAATAGTAATAAGGTTAAGCTTTCTGTAGGGAAAGTAATAGCATCCTAAACCCATAGTACTGAGAAGTAAGCTGAGCTTACTTCTAGCAGTCTGAACCAATTTAATATAGTAAAGTCACATTTCCTAATTCAGAATGTGGTAAAGCATTTTATAAAGGCCTACTTACTTAATTTTAACAGAGTAATAAAAGTAACACAATTTATATTTTGGTTGCTCCCAAAGTGAGTCTCGAGCTTTGTGAAAATGTATTATATAATCAAGGGCTGCACAAAGTCTGGCCTATGTGTACTTGTACAAGCATATCTTGATGTGTGCCGCAGTTCAGAATGGTAAAAATCACATTTTTTTCCACTGGGGAATATAAGATAATTTATCAAAATTCCATTACTGTCTGTGGTCTTATTAAATTGTTGAAATCCTGTTTTACTTTTTGAAATATTTTTTAAGTTTTTTTAAAAAATATATGTATTTGTTGATTTCAGAGAGGAAGGAAGAGGGAGAGAGAGACAGAAACATCAATGATGAGAGAGAGTCATTGACTGGCTTCCTCCTGCATGCTCCCTACTGGGGATCGAGCCCACAACCTGAGCATGTGCCCTTGACCGGAATCGAACCTGTGGCCATTCTGTCTGCAGGCCGACGCTCTATCCACTGAGCCAAACCGGCTAGGGCATTTTTTAAGTTATTAATAAATCATAGGTATTTATAATATCACCTTTTAGTATTTTCTTAATAGACTACTGAGTTTTTACCCTTCTACTCTAGTAGACAACTCCATCTTAAATTGTTTAGATAATATAAACCCATTCCTATACAAATATTTAATAATATTATCAAAGAAACTCTTAATTATAGCTGATGTACATTAATTTTTAAGGTATAGGAAATATATTTACATCAAAATAAAGTTGACTTAGAATCAGAGTGATTAAAGGAAAATTTTTCTTATTCTATAAAGAATGCCTGCAATTCCATTTGAAAAAGACAAGCAACCTAATAAAAAAGCTAAGCAAAAGGCATGAATAGTTTTTTAAAAAGCAATTTGAATAGCTCTTAAAAATATGAAAATATGCTCAATCTAACTCATAAAAGGAAATATAAAATTAAAACTGTTGTGGCATACTATGCTGTTAAGAATGAGGCAGCTTTGAAATAGTAATATGAACTAATCTAAAGTATATAATTAAGAAAAATAAAATTCAATCTGCATATGAATTAATTAGATATATTTTATATTAAAAAGATACATACGTATGTATATGCATTGGTTATCTCCAAAAGGATATGTAGGAAACTACTTCTGGAGAGAGCATCTAGGTGGCTGCTCGGAGTAGAGGAATCCTTCATTTTCTTCTTATATATATTTTTTTAATATAATTTATTGATTTTTTACAGAGAGGAAGGGAGAGAGAGATAGAGAGCTAGAAACATCGATGAGAGAGAAACATCGACCAGCTGCCTCCTGCACATCTCCTACTGGGGATGTACCCGAAACCCAGGTACATGCCCCTGACCGGAATCGAACCTGGGACCTCTTAGTCCACAGGCCGACGCTCTATCCACTGAGCCAAACCGGCCTCGGCCATTTTCTTCATATTTTTAAAAAGTTTTTATTGCTGGCTTAACTACCTATTCAGAATAATTCATTTTTAGAGACAATATTGTCATAGAATACTAAAATCTGTAAGGGACCTGTATCTGCCATTCCTTTTACAGCTGATTTCGAGTTGCCCAAGAACTTTCGATCATAGAGCTGTTGATTTCAGCCCAGTAGTTATCAACTGGACAAGCAGGTCTTCCTAGGTATACAGAGATCTTATTTCTCTTCATCATTGTATTCCACTTACCTAGCATACAGTAGATGCTCAATAAGTATTTGAATGAATTCAACAAATTTAAGGTATTTATTACTCCGTGGCATGGTACTGGCAGAAAGTATTTCATCTTCACCTTTGAAAGAAGAAAAATTTCTGTTTCCTGTTCAAATGTGTTTGTTATATATTAATTTTTATTCTAAAGAAACATTTCTGAAGTTATAAATTGTTAATCATTTTTCAGACACAGGCTTCATGTCCTATTGACAGAAAACCTTTTCAAGCAGTGTTTAAAATCAGTTCATTGGAAGGTTGTGTTAAGGTAAGGCTTAGATTTTATTTTGCAACATGAACAGTATAAATACAAACTTAATTCAATTTTGTTTTAAAAGAGTTCCAGTTTGAATAAATTTGTGACTTGTTGAACTTTAGCTTTAATATGTGATTAACATTCCCCCTTAGCATAACAAACCCAGACTTTTCTACAAGAATTCAGAAATTCTCTTTTTTTTCCTTTGCCCGCTAAAGAGGATATATTTTTAGTGTGAGGACCTTTATTTCAAAAACATTTACTGATTAATTATATAGTGCTTTAAATACATTTTTATTTTATTTTTTTTATTTCAGAGAGGAAGGGAGAGGGAGAGAGAGATAGAAACATCAATGAGAAAAAACTATCAATGGGCTGCCTCCTGCACATGGGATAGAGCCCCCAACCCAGGCATATGCCCTGACTGGGAATTGAACCGTGACCTTCTGGTTCATAGGTCGCTACTCAACCACTGAGCCATACCAACTGGGCTGAATACATTTTTAATTGAAAAATATTTGAAATGGACTATTAGATTCAAAGGCCAACCCTCACAAAAACTTAAGTCCAAAATACCTGAAAAGTATGTTTTCATAAAAAAAGCAATGTTGAGAAGAGTAAGCCAGTAAAAGTAAATATAAAATGATGTCTTTGTTCTTAAATTCTGGTGTTTGAAGAAAAATGAGTAATTGGAGAAAGGGGCGTTTGTGGAGATTGAGAGGGACTTTTCAGTTTCAAGATTGGCATAGGCCAATTAGTTCATTCTTTTATTAAGTATAGTTTACTGTAATGCTTAATCCTAATCACATCTCTGAGATGCACATACCATACATACCTCATTGATGTTAATTATTATAAACCATGATTATGATTTGTGTTCACATTTTTGGCTTACAAATAAAAGAAATAGGAACATATTCCTGAGTTAATGAGTAAAAGGTGAAAAGAGAAATGGGCAGTAAGTAGTTAAATAAAATGTATAAGAAGGAGATTTTAAAAATAATTTATATATATATATATATATATATATATATATATATATATATAATTATAATTATAATCAGATGTTACCATTTGTTCCAAGAATGTCCCTTATAGCAAAAGAAAATCTGTAATCATATGTTACGTTATGTCTCATATCTTTTAATCTGGAACATTTTCTCAGCCTTTTTTTTCATGACTGTTTTTAAGAGAAAATTTATTTATTTAATTTTATTGACTTTATTGGGATGACATTGGTTAATAAGTTTTATAGGTTTCAAGTGTGCAATTCTATAATACATCATCTGTATATTGTATTGTGTGTTCACCACCCAAAATGAAGTCTCCTTTTGTCATCATTTACACTCCCTTTACTCTCTTCTACCTGCCTCACCACCCATTCCCTCTGGTAATCACCATATTGTTGTCTATGTCTGTGATTTTTTATTTTCTCAATCCTTTCACCTATTTTACCCAATCCTTTTTTAAAAGTTTGTTCTCTATGAGTCTGTTTCTATTTTGTTTATTTGTTTTGAAAATTTGATTCCACATATAAGTGAAATCATATGGTATTTGACTTTAAGAAAGAGATTACTTGCGGTATCTCTAAGAAGTCACAAAGGATATACAACTAAAAATGGGAACACTCAATATATACATATATGATGTCATTGATGTGAAAAAAACTGTTCCCAGGTAGCATTATAAGTCTGTGATAGCTTTGTTGCTCTCCGTGTGAGTAGGAAGGGAATGGAAGCAACGTGCAACTATTTAAGCATTAGATGTTCTCATTGTAGGTATTTATAATTTGTTTTGATATATATATATATGTATATATATTTAAATATCTCTTAGTGATTTTAGAGAGGAAGGGGGAGAGAGAGAGAAACACCGATGTGAGAGCGAGACATCTATTGGCTGCCTCCTTTGTGCCTCTATTGGGGATCAAGTTGTGTGTCCCTGATCAGGAATCTAACCCGCGACCCTTTGGTGCATGGGTCAACACTCAACCACTGAGCCACACCGGCCAGGCTGTTACATTTTTAACAGATGAGTCTCAATATACAAATAAGACTGCAATTCAAATAAAAAGATACATGAAAAATTAATTTGCTTCTTGTAATTATGTAAGTCTGCACGTCTATGCAAATTAGTATATATTTTGGAGAAAAGATATAATTGTGTAATATTATAATCAAAATTAAAGCATGACTTCTCTGAAAGACGTTCTCCATTTTTCTAGAGTATATGTTATGTTGCTGATGATTCATTAGCATGAGCTAGTTTCCAAATATATTTTCTTGTAAAATTTTGTTCTTTTGCTTCATGTGAAATTTTGTTCTTGGAATAAGAATTTGTTTTATTTAATGAGGCTTAAAAGTTTGATGCACTATTCATCTAATTTTGTCAAACTTAAAAAGGTATTTCTTATATGTGATATTATCCTTGTACTCTCAATATTTTCCTTTGCTTCTTTTGAATCTTCAATTATTATCCTTTTCCCTTTATAGCTGAACTTGAATGAGACATCTACATTTACTTCATTTTTTCAATTCCCCAGTTCCATTGACAGTTCACCTCTGTCATTTTGTTTTACTAAAACTGTCCTCACTAAGGGCCAGAGTAATCTCTGACTGGCCAATCCCATCCTTTCTGCATGTAATGCTGTTGAGTACTTTTATTTCCTTTGGCTTCTAGGTTTACTTCTCTTATGGGTATATATGTAAGAATGTGTGTATGTATGTATGTTTGTTTCTTTTACCGTCCTTTTACAATCTTCTTTGCCATCTCCCTGCTCTTCTTACCTTTTCTTAAATCATTGGGACTCCTCATAGGATCTTCCTTTCAATTCTCTAGGTATACCTTCCCCTTAAGTCTTCTCAATACTTCAGTAGCTGTTAGTACTATCTATATTTATATAACTCCTCAAATTCTGTCACTAGCCTAGATATTTTTCCTTAGAACCAGACTTGTATTTTCAACCACTTGTTGGATATCTCCATCTATAATACAAAGGAATCAACATTAACAAATCCAAAAAGTATCAGGGAATTTTCCATTTTTTTTTCTCTCTGCCCATCCATCTTTTCCTATTCCTTTTGCTCAATTTCTTCTTAAATTTGTTTCTTCATGTCTCTGCTATTAACTCTTAGTAGGCTCTCATGCTGCCATCTAGACTGGTTCTGCCAATGGAAATATACAAGCCAATCTGTAATATAAAAGTTTTTTTTGAAATATATTTTTATTGATTTTTTACAGAGAGGAAGGGAGAGGGATAGAGTTAGAAACATCGGTGAGAGAGAAACATTGATCAGCTGCCTCCTGCACACCCCCTACTGGGGATGTGCCTGCAACCAAGGTACATGCCCTTGACCAAAATTGAACCTGGGACCCTTGAGTCCACAGGCCGACGCTCTATCCACTGAGCCAAAACAGTTAGGGCTGTAATTTAGAAGTTTTAATTAGTGATGTGAAAAGAGTAGGAAAAACCAAATTTTTATAATATGTATTTAATCCAACATATCTATTTCAACATGTAATATTTTTAAAGAATTGTTATTGAGAGATTTTCCCTTTTTGTTGTTGTCCTAAGTCTTTGAACTCCTCTGTATATTTTACACTTAGAGTGCATCTCAATTCAGACCAGCCACATTTCAAGTGCTCAATAGCCTTATGTGGCAAGTGACTATTTTCTCAGCATAAATCTAGACTATGCATTGTAAGAGCTTCTGGTTTTCTGGCTTTTATAGTTTCTCCTTATCTGCTTCATTCTTCACATTACTGCCAAAGTTAATACTAAAAAAAAAATTATTTGATCATCTCATTTACTTGCTTTAAAAACCTCACTTATTCTCTGATTCCTATAGAATTGTTTTATTATTCAAAGCTCTTTATAATCTGGTCCTATACTTTATATCAACTTCCCCATCTGCATTGGCTTCTTTCCTTAATTTTATTCCTTAGACAAATTTTACTCATTCTCTAAGGCCAACTCATAAAGCATCTATTCATTAAAGTCTTTCTAGAGTTAATTTTCAATCAATGTATCTGCTGATCTGTTTTTTTATCTCTATTATGAGCACTTAATCTGTTTACATGCCTTATTTCCCCCTAATTTGTTTCCCCAGAGCTTAGCATGTATGCTAAGTTTATAATTTAGCATGCTCGAATGAATAAGCATATGTATTTGGGCTAGAGTTTCAGACAATTTTGTTTAATTTTTTTTTTCAAGGGAGAATTGAAAAATAGGTTATTATTTGTGATACTGGATTATCACTCTAAATAGGTGATTTTGCTTTTCTCATAGGTTCAAGTAAAAAGACAGTTGAGAGAAGCAAAAGACAAGATAAACGAAAGCTCTTTTAAGAAACAGCTCTCCTGTCATGAAAATTCTAAAAGCTGTATGAGGTTAGTAATGAACTTTAGAAGTGGAATCCAATGTGTAGAATCAGAAGGTAGCTAGTAATAAAAATGAATACATTTTTTTAATGATGTGGGTTTAAATATATTTAATTACTTCTTTTAAAGCATGTACTTGGTAATTTAAGGAATGACCAGCTGAAATTTGAGAATATAATCTGAGCTCTATCTTTTATTAATATGTTTTTTAAAATTGATTTCAGAGAGGAAGAGAGAGAGAAAAGAGAAATAGAAACATCAATGATGAGAGAGAATCATCGATCGGCTGCCTCCTGCATGCCCTCTACAAGAAATCAAGCTTGCAACCCGGGCATGTGCCCTGACCAGGAATTGAATTTTGACCTCCTGGTTCATAAGTTGACGCTCAAGCACTGAGACACACCAGCCGGACTCAGCTGTATCTCTGAGGAATTGGTTTTCTTAGTTTTTTTTTCTAATCTGAATTTAGATTGATATTTTTATAAAATAAAAATGTTACAGCAGTGTAAAATTTCTGTAAAATTTTCTGAATGCTTATTCATTTTTGTACATATCACAACCAATAATGGAGAAGTATTGGTGCACAGACCACATTTTGAATAGCACTGCTCTAGTGTTTAGGGACAAAAGGTAGAAAGTTACTAATGGTATAACTCACCATATTTCATGAGACAGTTATAATTCAGACTACTTATTATTTTTCTCATTGTGCTTCTTTGTATTTTTGCTACCTAATGTAACATGTTTATGTTTTTAAAAAAATTTAACGTTTGTATTTGTTTCTTTAATTGCTGTTGGTAAAACATAATTGCCTAGAAATACAGTGCTTAGTATTCCAGTTTAATAGGTATCATATTTTTTTTCAACTAAATTGTGTTAGTAATGTACTGGAAATTAATTTATGCTTAATACTTAAAATAACTTCTTCTGGTACATTTAAAATTTAAGCCCATTTTGATCTGAAATATATTTAGAGCTATCTAAAAGTTATATTCTTAAGTCAATATACTGTCATAATTAAATTTATAATTCATTAGCACATTTCATCAGAATGCTAATTTCTTAAGAGAGTACATTTATTTTATTTTGTTACCAAAATAATTGATAGTCGTCCCTGAGATGTATTAAATCATGCAACTAATTTATATTATAGCTCTCTAGGTCTTAACTTTTAGGAAGTTACAGACTAATTTGAGAATTTGAAGAAAACTGCAGACATCTTCTTCTAGAAAAACATGTCATAGAACTTACTTACAGACAAAACTTTGTGTATGATTTTAAGGGATTCATGAAACATCCACTGTAAGAACCCACCCATAAACCCACATTAGCTGCATTAGAGTAGATTTTATTTACATTTTCTTTTAACTTTATTAGAGTCAGTTTTGATTTATGTATATATGTTTTCATAGTAGGTAGCAGCACACTTTTCCTAGGAATAATGAAGAAATACCTTTGCTACCTGCATTCTTACTATAGCTGCTATCACTGGCTGTGACAACGTCATGGATATATATTTTTGTGTTTTCTCTGAATTACCCCAGTTCTCTTAGCTATTGCTGAGAATGCAGTGGTCATCACTATATGACCTATAACAAGGTTGAACAATGGGGCTAATTCAGCTGAGGTAGTCCACATGCTTAACTGCTTTTTCTCATGGATATATGGTGGGGGGATGGTGTATGGAAATAATATATAAAATAATAATTTGCTTTTGTCCAACAAGTCAGACCCTTAATGATTTCTCCCAAGGTGGAAAATCTCTCAGCTATTGGATATTTACAGTACATTTTTTAGAGCCTTTTGGAAATTTTTTAGCATTCCTCCCATTCAGTCTGAGGTTTACTACCCATTCCTAGTCTCTTCACCACTTCAACAGTGTCCAGTGTTGTTTCTCCTTTCTAAAGCAGTAAAACCCCGACAGACACCCTTTCTTTCTGATTATTTCTGCCAGTTCTAGAGAAAGAGATTGCAATGATATTTTGTTTCTTGGTAGTAAATCTCCATTGTCAGTCACTGGGATGGGGAGGGGCAACTAGTTATACTTTCTTTGCTAGAATATAAAACTCTGCCTAATAAATTTCATTTTGGTGGGCAGGGAATTGAAAATAAATGAGCAAAATGACAGTTTTGTCTTAATTATTTCACCTTTTTTTGATGTTTACAGAAAAAACATAGGAGAAGATCTATTAAGTGCAAAGCTTTATGACTTGAAGATGCATAGTAAGTGGCTTTTTTCTTTTGTTTTCTACCTTTTTTTGTTTCTTACTTTAGTACTTGTGCCAGAGTTCTTATTAGTAACATTTTGGTTTGGAAAACAGTCATGCACAGAACTCTACTGAGCTCTGTACATTGTTAAATCCTATATAAACTACTTTCATGGAGTTATTTATGCTGTTCTCTACCCATTTTGTGTGTTTTTTTATGCTCATCTTGGAGGAAGGGAGCAGGAGAAAGAAAGGGGGAGAGGAAAAGAAGAAGGATATTTTCAATTACTTGGTGGTTAGCAACCTACATTACAGTCTTACTCCACTTATAAAAGCAGAATAATTTAGGGGAGATGGGATAAAGTATGGTAAGCTGTAGCAAGGGAAGTTTGTGACAGTGAAGTTATTTCACAGTTCCCAGAGGAAGTGGTGGTTTGGTCTCTAGCCACACTTCTAATTTGAAACTTTGGAAATAAAGCACCTCTTACATATTTATCTACATGAGCAGTTAAATATTCCTGTCTTTCGATCTCACCTAGTACATAGTTCTCCAGTACAGGAAAGGTTTGGGGCAGGGTCTGCGAAGAATGATACCATAGTGCCCTGTGATTCCTCCTTGGAGCTCAGGCTGTGTATTCTATTCTAAAGAACAACTTACTATTAACTGTTTGTAAGCGAGGAGGTGAACATTTAATTTCCAGGCTAGGTTACAATGAATTTTTCTTTAAAGATATAAAGAATTAATGAATTTATTATTCTTAAAAGTTATCAACTTCATTGTTTTACATTATGAATACCGAGTTTGGTTGTTATTATTATATTTATGATTTGAATTAATATGATCTCTTATGTCTATAGATCTCATATTTATAGGTTAATAAGTGCTCTTTCTGCCTTTGATTAGTTGCTATTAAAATGAAATTGTATTAAAAGGATTTACTGATTAGATGAGCATTTTTCTTTTGTTAACAAACCTTAGATATCAAACTTGTTTGTTTTTCTATGTCATTGCTGTAGATGAACATCCTTTTTTAATGGATGGACTTTGCTTGGTAACTCTAGGATCTGATATAAAATTTACTGCTGAGAAAGATTAAATGTGATAGATTTCTCTAGATAATTTGGCCTGCTCTCACTGTGTTTATCTTAGTTTTAAGTCTACTATAATTTTCTTTAAGTATATATCTCTTGCCTGGACTTATTTTTAGAGAGAGAGACATAGGCAGATCTAACCTCAAGTGCTTCACTGTAGTGAAGACCATTTATAAGACACTATGACTTATATGGATTTGAGAATTTGTTTTACTATTCAGAATATGGAATACTAAACAAGTTTTTAGTGAATATCCTAAGCTAATTTAATACTGAAAAGCAATTTTTAAATTATAGTTCTTAAAAAAAAAGTTTATGCCAGAAAGTTAACATTGTCCAAGGCCTGTAAACTAATGTGTCTGCTTAAGTGAAGATGTCTGAAGTCATTTGTGTGGTTTAGGATAGGCAGAAATACTCATTTTAGTTTTATATGTAAGTGATCAAGGTAATTATGTGGAAATGTTTTAATTGAACGAGTTTGGATTCATTTGTGGGGTACTGGATACTTATTGATTATCCATTTGGTTCATTTTTCTATGATGTCGCTTTTTACTTGGAGCGTTTAATACATCTAACTTGGCCAATTTTTTCCCCTGCATTGAAATACATTATATACTTAATGAAATAGTTTGTATTTAGGTATTATGTTTAATGAAATTACTCAGATTTAAATAAACATAAAAACTAATGGGTCTATTTTGGAGGATGCTAAGAATTAACTCATTGTTAAACTGGCACATTTATAAAAGAAAAGATTCAAACATCTATCTTGCCTTTCCTAAGTAAACTACACATCAGAATAATTGAACAGGTAGTAAAAGAAAGTTAAATATTTTTAGAAGTATTTCAGCAAATAATTGAAGATAAAAGTATAGAATTTGAATATTAGCATTTTGTACATTAATGAATTAATGGATCTAGGAAGTGATCAGCAGTGGCTGTTAGCATCACAAAAGGTGAGACAACAATACATTAAAAATACTCCTTGCCCTAGCCAGTTTGGCTCAGTGGATAGAGCATCAGCCTGTGGACTGAAGGGTCCCGGGTTCGATTCCGATTAAGGACATGTATCTCAGTTGCAGGCTCGATTCTCAGCCCTGGTCAGGGCGTGTGTGGGAGGCAACCAATTGATGTGTCTCACATAGATTTTTCTCTTTCTTTCTCTCCCCCTCCCTTTCACTCTCTAAAAAAATTACTGGAAAAATATCCTCGGTGAGGAGTAACAGGGAAATTTTTTTAAAAAAATATTTCTTTATGGAAGTAAATAACAGCAAATATGCAATAGTGTGACCAAGAAAACCTGAAAGCCAAAACAAACAAACCTGCATCTTATTAAGAAATCTAACTACTAATTTACAAGATGTACAGAGTCAGAGATGTATGTTAAGTGACAAGGGGATGCAATCAGCAAAATTTAGATCACAGACAAATGACCTGGTTTCTTTAGTCAAAAAATTCCAAGGAGTTTTTAGTAAAGGATGGAGCAGAACCTGTAGATTAAGAGACAAACATTCAGCCAGTCAGAGTGTATGGATCTTATTTGGATCCATATTCTGACATGTTATAAAAAATAAAACTTTATGGACAATTGGAGAAAATCGAACATTGGGTATTTGATATTAAGGAATTATTAAAGTTAAAAAAATTTTTTTACTTGGAATAATGGTATTAAGGATTTTCTCCCTCAAAGAGCACTTATCTTTTAGACTTATATACTGAAACATTTATAGATTAAGTGATCTGATGTCCAGAATTTGTTTCAAATTATTGCCTTATTCTTATGGCTTTGTTTGGATGCACTTTTGATTTAAAAAATAATTCTTAATATAAAATTATCACTTTGATAACATAGTGTCTGCTCCCTACTTAATAGACCAACTAACCTTGATTATTTTGGCTTATCTTTCAGAATGTGATCAATATCAGTCTTTTATTTTTTTTTAGGCTAATGTTTATAAAGTTCATAAACCATAGAATTTTAACCTTTAGTTTTCACATTTCTTATGAGATTTCTTACATATTATTAACAAATGACCTTACCAGAAGACTGAGAGAACCTGTAAATGTTATTTATAATGGTCTCAAAGTTTAGGGCAAATGAACTAATAAGCAGAAAAATCATCTTTATTTACTCATGTTACACTGAACAGGAATCATGGTGTATTAAGGATAATTTAAATTTCTTTTTATAAAAGAACATTTTGAGAAAATGATGTCTCTTTATCTAGGATCGCTTGGCTAGATTTTAGAAGAACTCAGTTTTAGCTTTTTTTAAAAAATATATTTTTATTGATTTCAGAGAGGCAGGGAGAAGGAGAGATAGATAGAAAAATCAATGATTAGAAAGGATCATTGATCAGCTGCTTCCTGCACACCCCCTATTGGGAATCGAGCCTGCAACCCAGGCATGTGCCCTTGACCAGAATCGAATCCAGGACCCCTTCAGTCCACAGGCCGATGCTCTATATCCACTGAGCCAAACCCACTAGACCAATTTTAGCTTTTTTAATTTCTTAAAAGTTTTTTTGAAGCAGAAAGGGGCTATCTTTGAACATTTATGTGTGACTTCCTTTTCTACCTGAAGTTATTTATATTACACATAAACTAATGAATAGAACATATGACATTGTGAACTTCTTTTATCTGGATTAGAAATTATTAGTAGAACATTAGTTAAAACTTAGCAGGCCTACTGGATAATCTTATTGGAAGTTGGCCCTTTGAGTTTTATACTGGTTTTTCCATTAAATCTATGACTCTAGGAAAGTTATATAAATTGTTTAGTTTTTCCATTTAATGAAGATGGTGTTGCCTGCTCTTTTCCCCTTACTAGAAAAGGTTAGCATACCTTTTGGCAAATTTGTTAAGGAAATGTCACTTTCATTCTTCAACTAAATTTTTAACCTCCCTTACTTTTTCCAGAGTTTTGAGGAGAAAGCAATGACAGTACCAGCAATAGTTTATTGCACACAAGTGTATTGATAGGTATAGATGACTAATAATGTAGACTCAATGGTAAAGAAAAACTAAGAGCAGTAACCTATAAAAGTGCTAACAGTTTTTGTAGTTAGCAGAAGCTATCCTTTATTGTTCTTAACCCGGAAGTATCTATAATAATAAAAGCGTAATATGCTAATTAGACCAGACAGCCGAATGACCTTCTGAACGTCATTCTGGACATCCTTGTGGACGAAGCTGCGGCAGCGGGGGCCGAGGCAGAGGTGGTTAGGGGCGATCAGGCAGGCAGGTGAGCTGTTAGGGGCGATGAGGCAGGCAGGCGAGTGGTTAGGGGCGATGAGGCAGGCAGGCAGGTAGGTGAGTGGTTAGGAGCCAGCAGTCCTGGGTTGCGAGAGGCATGTCCGACTGCCGCTGTAGGCCCGATCCCAGTGGACATCCCTGGAGGGGTCCTGGATTGTGAGAGGGTGCAGGCCGGGCTGAGGTCCCGTGCACGAATTTCGTACACCAGATCTCTAGTGTATCCATAGAAATAAATTTCCAGATGGGACAGGTAATGCCAAAAAATAAGTCATAGGCAGTGTAGCCAGAAACATTTCTATAACAGAAAGCTGTCTGACTCAACACTTCTATTTTTCCTAATTCTAATTATAAAGTTTGAGGAGGAAAGAGAATACTTATTTGAAGATGGTGCCAGTGGTTAAATGGTAATTTATGATTGACAAGGGCTGATGGACCTAGTTCCCTCAGTCAGCTCTTACTTGAGGTGAGCTAACAGGACCTGTTTTTTAGGTCATAGCTGAAAAAGGATATATATGAAGAGCATTATTGATATTAACACATTGCGAACAGATAACGAGAATTCTCACTTCATATTACACAGTGTTTTACAAAGTATACTTTAAAAAGATATTAGCTTGTAAGAACATGTAATAAATAATTTCAAAATGCAATGGGGATTTAATTTTAAAGCGTGACTTTAACATTTATGTAAAAACATTTTTTGTACTCGTTCAATAGAAACTTATCTGGCCACTGGGTAAAGCTAGCAATAAAACTACTGGTCTACAATGTGTTAAGTAATTCGAAATTATATATATATGTTAGAGGCCTAGTGCACAAATTCATGCACGGGTGGGCCGGCTGGAGAGAGGGGTTGCGGGAGGTTGGCCGGCCGGCCCCGTCCCCTATCGGGCTGGTTAGTCGGCCGCAGTGCCCGTCATAGTGACAGTTAGTCGGCTGCAGTGTGCGTCATAGGGACTGGTCATTCTGGTCGTTCCAGTCCTTCATATCTCTCTCTCTCTCTCTCTCTCTCTCTCTCTCTCTCTCTCTCTCTATATATATATATATATATATATACACACACACATATATATTTGTTGTTGTTGTTACAGTGTGGTTTAAATTTTCATAGGGTGCCAGAAATAAATAAATAAATAAATAAATAAATAAATAAACAAATAAACAAATAAATAAATAAATATATTTTTAATTAATTTATTTATTTTTTATTTTTTGTTACAGGGTGGTTTAAATTTTCATAGGGTGCCAGAAAATGTTGACTAGAATTCTAATGCTCATGCACTAAGATAGCAGTATTACATGCTTTACCAGTTTTCTCTATTGTGGTCTCTTAACATTTTTCATATATTTGTGGCTTAACAAGATAAGATAAAATTAGCATTTGGAAAATTTATGTAAATGCAACTATTTTTTGTTTTGTGTGTGTGTGTGTTTGTTAATCATTATCGAGGATATTTTTCTATTGATTTTTGAAGAAAGTGGAAGGGAGTGGGAAAGACAGAGAGAGAAACATTGATGTGAGAGAGACACATTAATTGGTTGCCTCCTGAACACTCCTGGACCAGGGCCAGGGATAAAGCCTGCAACTAAGGCACATACCCTTGACTGGAATCGAACCTGGGACCCATTACTCCATGGGCTAATGCTCTATCCACTGAGAAAACCTGCTAGGACTTATTTTATTTTTTTAAATATATTTTTATTGATTTCACAGAGGAAGGGAGAGGGAGAAAGCGATAAAAACATCAATGATGAGAGAGAACAAATGATCAGCTGCCTCCTGCACGCCCCACACCAAGGATTGAGCCTGCAACCTGGGCATATGTCCTGACCAGGAATGGAACCATGACCTCCTGATTCATAGGTTGACGTTCAACCACTGAACCACGCCAGCCAGGCCAGTACTATAATTTTAAATGCAACTTTTCTACACATTTTAACTTCCTTTTGTCAATGTGTCAGTATCAGTACTGGTTTTACAACCTTTTAAAATAAACATTAAGACAAGGTAACCAAGCCTTTTTGTGTCTTTGTACAGGAAAAACTAAATACAGTGAAATGAGAGGAAAGAAAAATGCAACAATGAAGATAAAGAAGGTGTGTTGAAAAATCATTTTCTTAGATAACTTTATGGTTTTTAGTACATGACGCTAGTGCCTCCGGTATATAAAAGTCTTCAATACAACTTTTACCTACTATCTATATTATGGAGGTTTTTTGTTTGCTGTTTCACTAACCTGTTTTTACTTTTATAGCTTCGAAGATCAAATCAGTGTACAAGTCAGTCCTTCAGAAATTCTTCCTTCAATATGTTTTCTTCTACTAGTCACACTGGAGACACTTCTTTTACCTGTAGAGCTTACTGGTTAGTATTTTCTACTTTTAATTTATGCTTTTTTCTACTTGATGTTTTAGTTATAATTAAATTTTGGTAAAAATTTAAACTTAGGCTCAGCAAACATTATGAAAGCCCACCTTGATTTTTGCTTTTGTTCCTTTTGGAAAATAAACTAGTTTTAGCAAAGAGAAAACCTATCATTTTGTGACATTCTCTATTATGCAATGACTTGCCTATGCTAGTGAGCTTTGTTTTTATTAATAATAAATTATTCTACACAGGCGTTTTGTGGATAGAAAAAAGTAGGCTAGCAGTAAGCAGAGCCCTTTCAGAGTACATCCTTCTTTGAATCCATAGTGATAGGTGGAATTTGAAAACTAAGTTGGACTTTTAAAATCGCATAGAATTGGTTGAACTAACAAGACAGATTATGATTGTAGAATTCAATTTACGAGCTTGAATTACAAGAAAGCACTTACGTCTAAGTAGTCTTTGAAAAGCTGAACTATACCCTTTTTTTCGTTATGTTTTGTTATAGTAACTGTACCTTCTTTGATTTTCTTCTTTTGTCCTCTGCTTAGTTTCAGGTGGAAATTATTGCGCCTACAATTTCTGCTGGAACTGCTTGCTGTAGCTTTGGTTCATGGGATAGAAATAGTGTTAGGGTTTTTTCTCTCTATAACGAGGATATTAGTCTGAATTGACTTTTTAAAAATTCTGTCACTTAAATAGAAATTCAAGCATTATTTTTATGAATCAGATAAACATAATTTTGTTTTGTAATATAAATATTTTACTAACTTTTAGGAATTAGTTCATTTTTAAAGTGTTTAAATAGAAAAATGTTCTTATCCTTATAAATGTGATTTATAATGCTAGGTATGAAAACAACTGCATATATATCATGAACCCAATTGTTACTCCAAACTTAAAATTTTTAGAATTCTGATGAAGGTGTAAAATTTATCTTTTAGTACAGAATTTATAGAAGTCAATGAAATCAGTGCATTAATTAGACAGAAGAGACAGGAACTGGAATTGTCATGGTTTCCTGATACATTACCTGGAATTGGAAGGTAAAAAAAAATTGTTACTGAAGTGTTTAATTGCTAACATGAATATAAGATATCATTAATACTTAACTACAAATGTATCTTATTTCGTGAGTATGTTTCTAAGAAAGTTTTGTGCAAATTATACTTTGGTGCTTCAGATGCCTAACAAAGATCACTATTTAAAGAACCCCTTAAAGAACTTTTAATCTGTTTAATAAATATGGACATTTGATTCATTTAAAAGGGATAGTGCCTAAATAATAAGATTCATTATTAATAATAGCATTCATATCTGTCATTCTTCATCTATTCTTTTCCCCATTCCTATGTGCTGTTAGCTGAATTACTGCTTTTATCATGATATTTCCTCTCCAAAATGTTCTTTTTAAAAAAAATATATTTTATTGATTTTTTACAGAGAGGAGGGAGAGTTAGAAACATCAACAAGAGAGAAACATCGATCAGCTGCCTCCTGCACACCCCCTACTGGGGATGTGCCCGCAACCAAGGTACATGCCCTTGGCCAGAATCGAACCCGGGACCCTTCAGTCCACAGTCTGACACTCTATCCACTGAGCCATACCAGTTAGGGCCAAAATGTTCTTTTAAATAACTATTTGATCAAGCCCCCACTCTGCCCTGGCACCCATAACTTTCAATAATCTAGCCTTTTCTTAGTTTAAGTCCTAGCACATTGCTAGGTATATGATATATATTTAAATCAAGCTTGTACATAAAGATCAAGGTCATTTGTTGCCTATAACTTGAACTTTATTTTATACTAGTAGCCCGGTGCATGAAATTCGTGCACATTAAAAGGGAATTAATTAGCAGAAATATTTTAATATTGCTATTTGCCCTTCCTCTATAATAGAAGTGTGAAAGATGAAAAATTAGTAAAATGTATATGAAAATAATATATAAATTTATTAATAAATAAACAGTAACAAAAGGATATAACAACAGAGGCATGATATAAAAACAACAAAAACATATGAAAACAACAAAAACATGATATAAAAACAACAAAAACATGATATAAAAATAACAGTGATGCAAACAAGGACTGATAAAGTGATTAAACTTATTCTAATATCTCCCTGTATACCACATTAAGACTAAAAACACTTTCAGAGTGCTTGACTAATTTCCCTTGTGATGAAGTATTTAGAACTTTAACGTCACATGCTCTTCAAACTTGAGAGAAAGCAACATATAACTGACCATGTGCGAAAGCGGGTTTAGGTAGGAATATTCCTACTCTGTCTAGAGTTTGTCCTTGTGATTTATTAATAGTCATCACAAATGCTGGCATCACGGGAAACTCTCATTGAATCAATTTAAATGGGAGACCAGTGTCAGATGGGGACAAATTCTTGGAATCAGAACCTCTCCCTCTGCAGATCCTGTTAATACTTCAGCTTCGATAATGTTAGGTCCTAATCTTTTGATAATAAATCTGGTACCATTACAAAGACCCCATTTACTATTAAGATTTCTCAATAGCATGATGATTGCACCCACTTTCAATTTTAATTTGACACGGCATTCCCAAAGGAGTAATACTATTAAGAAATTCGATGGGAAAATTTTCCTTTTCAGCATCATCTGTTGAATCAGTGAAATCATCACTCAAATATGTGTGAAAATCTCCATCGAGTATATCCAAAATTTTTTCATTTAATTTTTGAACATGCTCATTTTTTGGACAAAGAGTTGCACGTTTAGATATATTTTTAATATTATCTATAGATACAGTATTTCCAAAGGTAGCTTCAATAATAGATCCACTACAAATCATTTCACAGGGGATTTCAATAATATCCATTCCTAAATGAAAACTGCTATCAAGTTTGCCATCTCCAAGTTTTACTAACCATCCACTATAAGCAGAATCCTCTGATCTTATTTGTTGTAAGAGACAACTTTCTGAAACATCCCCAAACATTGCAGTACTTTAAACTCGTTTGTACTATGACCGATCACATAGCATGCAGTACAATACTGAGACATTGTCGAAAATCTCCTCCAAGAAGGAGAACTTTCCCACCAAATACAACATTCAAATTTCTCTTAGTAATCTGTCTATGGCGTTTATAGCATGACTGGATGCCATGGTGCATTCATCAATAATGAGAAGTTGGGCCTTTTTAATAGTTTTAGCAACTTCACTGTTTATATCAAGTCTAGAAATTAAAGTTTCATTTAATGGAATTGGTCATTTATATTGGGAATGAAAGGTTCTTCCACCGAGAAGTAAATTTGCAGCAATTCCTGTAGATGCTGTGGGTAAAACAGTACCACCACAACCTCTAATATAATGTATTAAAACTTTATACAGATATGCAGATGAATAGGATTCCTAGCTGACAGGCCCCTGACAGCAAGCTAGCCACCTGTCGATTCCGTAAGGAATGGGGCTTCCTCCTCCCTCCTGTCAGGGTTCGGGGTGCAGGTGAATGGGGTTCCTGGCTGGCAGGCCACTGACAGCAAGCTATCCAACAGCGGATTCTGTGAGGAATGGGGCTCCCTCCTCCCTACTGTCAGGGTCTGGTTTGAAGGCCAACCACGCCCCCTATTGGGCCAGACTCAGAGTTCTACCATGCCGTGGCCTCCTCCTCAGCAACCCAGGACTGACTGCTGCTGGGCGCTCCTGGCGCTCCAAGTGTGGGTTCTTCCTCAGGCCTTGCGGGAAACAGCTTGGGGAGGGCACAGCCCTTGGCAAAGTGACCCAGGACTCAGTGGGTCTACGCTCCGAGGGCCGGTTCCTGCCTCAAACCCCGCCCTTATTGGAAACAGCTCGGAGAGGGCGCAGCTGTTGCTAAGAGGACCCAGGACTTAGTGGGTCCACGCTCCGAGGGCCGGTACCTGCCTCAAACCTCGCCCTTGCCGGAAACAGCTCTGGGAAACAGCTCGGGGAGGGCACAGCTGTGGCCAAGACAACCCCTGCAAGACTGACTTCCTTCCGGTTGGTCGAGCCTCAGTTGTGACATTACACCCAGGATTTTTATATAAATAGATACCACTGTAATGTAGTTCTGCATAGGGTCCTTCACACTCTAGGACAAGCACGTCAAACTCAAAGGCTAACACAGGCCAAATAAACAAGGTTTAAGTTTATATGGACTGCAAAAAACAAAAGCTTCAATTTTCATAGAAACGTAGGTTTTTTTCAATAGAGACGTGCTGAATACAAAGGGCTGAAATAAATGAATAATTGTTAACATAAAATAATAGAAAATAATAGAACATTTTAATAAAAATTAATATTTTTTTGAACATTAACTTACCAGAAGCTGAATAACTGCACAAATTAATAAGCATAACGCAAATAAACCTATTTTTCTTGTTCTCCAAAAGCAAAATATTTCCTTTTGTGCATACCAAACAAGTCAGTGCAAGACTGATGATGTGGCATTCAGCTGCTAAAATATTCGCTGCTAGTATTAGTGGAGAGAAATGATGTGCCAGTGCATAACGCACGTAGGGAAATGAATGCAACGCGATTACAGTAATCGGTTATTCGCGAACTTTGCAGTTTGTTATTAATTATGTATATAACAGGATATTGTAAAAGTTAAGTTACAAAATTTTTATTAAAACGTTTCTTACATACCGTTATATTGGCTGGGTCGCAAAAATATTCATTGTGGGCTGCATGCAGCCCGCTGGTCGCGAGTTTGACATGCTTGCTCTAGGAATAATGCAACACAAATAGAAGTAAAATTAGGAAGCCCAGATGAAACTTTTTCTTAGTTATATATTTCTGTACATATACACGTTGTATTTTTTTTTTCAAGCTTCTCCTCCTACTCCAGAATCTCAAGTTATATTGGATAAAATAGTCTTGTTAGGAGACTTGAAGTGATGAGCAAATATGAATCAGAAAAGAAGAAGCTAACAGTGGATTGGGTTTGGATGCAGAAACTTCAGGGTCTTAGCAGGTCCTTGGGGACACAGGGAACGTTGAAGAGTCATCATCTTTAAATGGAGGAATTTAAAAATATAATATAGCAACAGAAGCCAGGTTTTTCAAAAAGTGACATATTTTGATGCTTGGGGTCTTGAAATATGTTGTAAAACAAAGAAATGTAACAAAAACTGATATCATCTATGAAATACTTCAGAATTCAAATAATAGTTCTGTTTCCAATATTTTAATTTGTTTTTGTTTCTTTTAATTGATTTCAGAGAGGAAAGAAGGGAAGAGAGATAGAAACATCAATGATGAGAAAGAATCATTGATAGGCTGCCTCCTGCACGCCCCCAATTGGGGATTGAGACCGCAACCCGGGCATGTGCCCTGACCGGGAATCAAACCATGACCTCCTGGTTCATAGGTTGATGCTCACCCACTGAGCCATGCTGGCCAGGCCAATATTTATAATTTTTATTAACTCATGGACTGATTTCCCTTTGACCCTGCTAATTTCTTTAAAACCTTGATTTGATTAATTCAACAAAATTATCTCTTCCGTTGCCTGGAAAGGGAATGGGGTGCAAGGGGCATGAGGTGCTTTCTGGAGTGGTGAAAATTATTATTTTTTTATTGGGGTTGTGGTTACACAGATATATATATAGTGATCAAAAGTCATCAAACTGTATCCTTAAAATCTTTGCATTTTATTATTCAAGTGACTTTTTTTTAGAATAGCAAAAAATGAATAACAGCTAGAAATCTTGATAAAATATTATTTAAAAGAGAAACAACTATTTTATATTTACCTAGATCTCCATTTACCATAAATTTATCTGAAAAACATGCACTTAAAGGTTTTCTTCTTTGCAGCCAATTGCCATCCTTGAACAATGAGTAATTTTGAATTTACATTTTTAACTATTTGGGCAAAAAATAATTAAAGCACCCTGTGTTTTCATATTGCAAACCTGATTTGGAAAGTTGCTGGTTAATTTTTTAAACCTTTTAAACAAAAATGTTTTTATTTTGTTTCGAATTTGCAGAATTGGTTTTATACCCTGGAATATTGAAACAGAAGTCCTTCCTCTCATCCCTTCTGTGTTGCCGAGAACTGTTTTTCCAACAAGTACCATATCTTTACGGAATTTTGGTAAAGTTTGTGAAGTTCTTTTCTACTTTTAAAAAAATATGAGCTTCTTTCAATCTCATAAACAGTGTGTTGATGACTTAGAAAAACTGTTAAATAAGGTTTAAATAGTAAGTCTAAATATTTTTGTAAATATTTGGTCAGTGACTTGACTTTAAAATTGTTCAAACCAGAAATCCCTTTTACTTTAAGAAATTACAAGTTAATGTTTTCGAGGACTGATTTGAAGTCTCCCTTCTATTTAGGGCTTCAGTGTCCAAACCATAGATCTTTAGAAGTAGCATCTCATATCCCGTTAATTATGAACAAAGAATTTGAGTCTGTATTTGTGACTTGTTTTCTATTGCATTTTGCCAAGGTAATAACAATTCATAAAGCAAATGGCAGTTATCAGACCAAACGTATTTTCTTTTGTGTTTTTTCTCCCTATAAAATTGCCTACATGGATTCAAATCTTGTGATAACATATTTCAGTAGCATTAAAAGAAGCTGATAAATATCTGAAATTACTCAGATATTAATAGCTATACATTTATTCATAATTTGATTCATAAGTATATTTTGTTTCACTCTGTTATAGATGTGTATTTTATGCTAAAATAAGCTGAAGCTAAACTATTCTCATTTATTGAAACATATACTTACTTTTTACTCTTTAAAAAAATATTAGGTACTTCTTGCAAGGGATATGCATTAGCACATACTCAAGAAGGAGAAGAGAAGAAGCAAACTTCTGGTACATCAAACACCAGAGGATCAAGACGAAAATCTGCAGCAGCAACTCCTACAAGGAGATCTACACGTAACACAAGAGCTGAAACAGTCACTCATTCTCAGAGATCCCCGGCATCAAATAATTCTGGGTGTGATGCCCCAGATAACAATAATCCATCTCTAAGTGTTTCTTCTTCAGCTGAGTCAGAAAAGCAAACAAGACAGGCCCCCAAACGGAAGTCTGTAAGAAGAGGAAGGAAACCACCTTTACTGAAAAAGAAACTTCGAAGCTCTGTACCTCCTTCTGAAAAAGCATCTTCCAGTGATTCAGTAGATGAAGAAACAGCAGAGTCTGACACACCACCTGTGTTAGAGAAAGAGCACCTATCAGATGAAGAAAGTAGAAACACTTGTACTGTGCAGACAAATGTAGAAAATAAGTCTGCTAATGGCTTGAAAAGTTGCAGTGAGCAAATAGAAGAAAGTGAGGAACATACTGAAAACCATGACACAGAGGAAAAAGTAGAATCTTCATATTCTGAGTCTTGTATCCAAGATCCTCCTGTTCTAGTTGGAGAGGAGGAGGACGTTCAGAAAGTTGAGAATACGGGTATTGAGGAAGTTCAAAAAGTTGAGAATGCAGGTATTGAAGTTCAAAAAGTTGAGAATACAGGTATTGAGGAAGTTCAAAAAGTTGAGAATACAGGTATTGAGGAAGTTCAAAAAATTGAGAATACGGATAATGAGTCTAATGTTTTTTGCTTAGAAAGTGATATTTCTAAAACTATTTCTGAAGAAGGAGGTGATGCATTAGAAAATGAAGACCAAATATCTTTACCTTCAGAATCAGAAGTAAAAGCAGATATATGTACAGATTATCCTCCAAATGATTCTCTTACATGTTCAGCATCTGAAATTGAAGTACACCAGCCTGTACCAAGCCTAGATGAGTTATCTGAGAATGCAGAGATAGTTATGGTTAATGAAGAAAAAGTTGTAGAGGTCAATGAAGAAAAAGTTACAGATGTTAATGATCAAGAGGTTATAGAGAGTCCTACAGTAGAAATTATTGATCATAATGATTCAACAGTAGAAGCAGAACAGCTTGTAGACAGCCCAAAATTAGAATCTTCTGAGGGTGGAATTATACAAACAGTGGACAAAACCTCTATTGAGAGCTCAGAGATTCAGTTGCCTGGGCATGTTGAAACTGGAGATACAGAAGTAATGTGTGATACTTCAGGGAATGAAAATTTCAATAGTATTCAAGACTCTGAAAGTACTTTATTAAAAAATAATCTTAACACCAAATTAGACACATCTTTAGAAGAAAAGGCTGAGTCTCTGGTTGAACAACCCAGATCTACAGAATTGCCTAACACACACATTGAACAGATTCAGAAACATTTTAGTGAAGACAATAATGAAATGATACCCATGGAATGTGATTCATATTGCAGTGATCAGAATGAGTCTGGAATTGAACTGTCTGTAAATACTGATGCTAAACAACTGAACAAAAATTCTGCAGAGCACAGTTCTCAAAATAATATGCCATTTTCTGATCCTGTAAGTGAAAAAGTTGAAACTGTATCTCAGCCATTTGAAAACCCAATAGATATGATAGATAAAGCCAAAAAGCCTCGTACTCGAAGATCTAGATTTCATTCCCCATCTACAACTTGGTCTCCCAACAAAGACACTGCACGGGAAAAGAAGCGGTCTCAGTCTCCATCTCCCAAAAGAGAAACTGGGAAAGAAAGCAGGAAGTCTCAGTCACCATCTCCCAAAAAAGAATCATCAAGAGGACGGAGAAAATCTCGTTCCCAGTCCCCAAAACAGGATATTGCAAGAGAAAGAAGGCAGTCACAGTCTCGATCTCCAAAAAGAGACAGCACAAGGGAAGGCAAAAGATCAGAGTCACTCTCCCCAAAGAGAGACACTTCTAGAGAGAACAGAAGATCTCAGTCAAGAGTGAAAGATTCCTCCCCAACAGAAAAATCCAGGTCCCGGAGCAGAGAAAGAGAAAGTGATAGAGATGGGCCTAGGAGAGAGAGAGAAAGAGATAGAGAAAGGAGAACCAGAAGGTGGTCTAGATCCAGATCTCGTTCTAGGTCACCATCAAGATCTAGAACAAAAAGTAAGAGTTCATCATTTGGTAGAAATGACAGAGATAGCTACTCTCCTCGGTGGAAGGAAAGATGGGCAAATGATGGTTGGAGATGTCCACGAGGAAATGATCGGTACAGAAAGAACGACGCAGAAAAACAGAATGAAAATACAAGAAAAGAAAAAAATGACATCAGTCCAGATGCTGATGATCCAAATTCTGCTGACAAACATAGAAATGACTGTTCCAGTTGGGTAACAGAAACAATAAATTCTGGACCTGATCCAAGGACCAGACATCCAGAAAAGTTAAAAGATTCCCCTTGGGAAGAAAATAGAAATGAAAATTCAGGGAATGCTTGGAATAAAAACTTTGGTTCAGGTTGGATATCTAACCGTGGTAGAGGTAACCGGGGCAGAGGCACTTACAGAGGTAATTTTGTCTATTCAGATCAAAATGAAAATCGGTGGCAAAACCGAAAACCCCTCTCAGGGAATTCAAATGGTTCAGGGAATGAGTCTTTCAAGTTTGTGGAACAGCAACACTATAAGCGGAAAAGTGAGCAAGAGTTCTCATTTGATACACCAGCAGATCGGTCCGGGTGGACATCTGCATCTAGTTGGGCTGTGAGAAAGACTCTTCCAGCAGATGTGCAAAACTATTATTCACGACGAGGGAGGAATTCCTCAGGCTCACAATCTGGATGGATGAGACAGGAAGAGGAAACACCTGAACAGGGTAATGTATTCTGTTTATTAACACTTTTATTTGAGAAAAGAGACTATAAGTTTAATGCCTTATTCATTTGAATTGAAATGATCTGTCTTTATAGTTTTACTAGAGGCCCGGTGCATGAAATTTGTGCATTCGGGGTGGGGGCTCCTTCAGCCTGGCCTGTGCCCTCTCGCAGTCCAGGAGCCCTCGGGGGATGTGTGACTGCTGCGGAGGCGGGAGAGGCTCCCGCCACCGCTGCGCTCGCCAGCTGTGAGCCCGGCTCAGGGCTTCTGGCTGAGCAGTGCTCCCCCTGTGGGAGCACATTGACCACTAAGGGGCAGCTCCTGCATTGAGCGTCTGCCCCCTGGTGGTCAGTGCACATCATAGTGACCGGTCGTTCCACCATTTGGTCAATTTGCATATTAGCCTTTTATTATATAGGATAATGTTAATTGAATCCCAATTGTTTACAGGTCACTTTATATTTTAAATAAATATATACACATTAGTATTTATTTTCTTCTTTCATTCTACCCCTACCTGAAACTTTGCAAAAACTTTAATATTTTAAGTCTAATTTACTACAATAGAAAAATTTGGGATGTTTCTATGCAGGATTTAACTTCTATTTATTTTACTTCAGATGTGTATACTTGAATTATTTTGATCATTTTTCTCATATAAATCACTCTTCTAATAAAGATTTATCTTTCTTGGCTTTTTTTGTTAACAATGTGAGAAAAAAAGTTGTTGAAGATTAAAAATTGATTAACTTTTCTTCTAATTTAGTAACCGAAATGAATTTGTATTTATTTCCTTAGTAAGTTTCTTGAGCTACTTATTCTTTGCTCATATTGATGGATGTTATCATGTAACTCTATTCTTAAAAATTATTTTAGTTGCATGTTTTCTTTTAGAAAATTAGCCCACATTATTTAGAAATGACAAGCTTAAGCCAAATAATTGGAGATTGGTTTAGATGTTCTGAATCTGTTCATTGCTATTTAATTTTACTATAACCATCAGTTCTTTGCTTCTCTAAAGAAATTTGTAACATATTTTTCACAAGCCTTTTTCTTTTGATAGATTCTAACCTAAAAGACCAAACAAACCAACAAGGTGATGGTTCTCAGCTACCTATAAATATGATGCAACCACAAATGAATGTAATGCAGCAACAAATGAATGCACAGCACCAGCCTATGAATATCTTCCCATATCCAATGGGTGTTCATGCTCCTTTGATGAACATCCAACGCAATCCATTTAATATTCATCCTCAGCTACCCTTGCATCTGCACACAGGAGTACCTCTCATGCAGGTAGCTGCTCCTACCAGTGTATCTCAGGGACTACCACCACCCCCACCCCCTCCCCCACCATCCCAACAAGTCAACTACATTACTTCACAGCCAGATGGAAAGCAATTGCAGGTATGTTTTTAGCAACTCAAGTTTAATCAACATAGCCATTGTAAACATTTAGCGATTAGGGACAGATATTCAAGAAAGGGCTTCCTGTCATCCAAAACAATTATTTATTTGATTAGGTTTATGCAGCGATTTTCAACCTTTTTGATCTCATGGCACATGTAAACGAATTACTAAAATTTTGTGGCACAACAAAAAATACATGTTTTGCTGATCTCACAAAAACAATAGGTGTAAATTTTTTTCATTGACACTGGACAGCTATTGTGTTAGCTGTTATTTTTTTATTTGACAATCTAAGGTCTGTGTCCCTGATTAAATCATCAGGTATTGCATGTTTTAAAAATTCTTGTGGTACACTGGTTGAAAATTGCTGGGTTTATGGTAAATCTTCATAACCCCTCTTTCACAGTTCTCCTAAATCTCCCTCCCCACAAGTAAGAAACTGAATTAAATACTTATTACCAAGTCTACAATATACTGTTATTAAATTCCAAACGGGTTTTTTCACATTAAGAGGACCAGGTAATAATGAGCCAAACTAGAATTGTCGTGGGTGCTTTAAATTTTTCCCTAATTTATTGGACTTGTTAGGAGTGGGAACTTGTGATAAAGTACTGTTAGTGAAGCTTGTATTGTCTTGTTTGGTCAGACGCCAGTGAAAGCTATTCATTAGCTATTACTGTCTCATTTTCACAGATTACCATGCTGAAAAGAATGAGGTGCCTCTGAGGCATACAGATCATTTGAATAATTTGTAAACATTGTGTTGCTTATAGTTTTGTGTCTACATTTCAGAAATTCTAGAATCCTGATAGCAAGATATAGTTGGAAGAACAAGGGAATGGGATTCCAGAATATGGGATCTTAAATCTTTTTCTGCTATCTACTCACTGCAAGCCATCTGACTTCACTGCCTCATTTCCTCTGATCTTTAAAAGGGGGCACTTCAGTTAATTTCCATAAAGAACCTTGCAGGAAAGATACTATTCTTTAAATGCTCTTCTTGTTTTTAGTGTTGGTGTCAGAACATTACAATAAACATGCATAATTTAAAAGTCATGTTGACATCTTTAACTAGGGCTCTGTTTTTAAGAATGTTACTCATTTTTCTTCATAAAAGACCTGAAATATGAATTTCTCTTAAGTACGAAGATTGAATTGCTTTGAATTTTTAAAATGTTATTTCTAATATGTAACTAAGATTTCTATTGAGTACAAGTAATTCATTAATTGATGATAACTCTTTAAAACAGGGTATTCCTGGTGCTTCTCATGTAACTAATAACATGAGTACACCAGTCTTGCCTGCTCCGACAGCAGCCCCAGCAAATATGGAAACAGTTCAGGGACCAAGTTCTGGTAATGCTTCGTCATCAAGTCACAGCAAAGCCTCTAATGCTGCTGTAAAATTGGCAGAAAGCAAAGTAAGTGTTACAGTGGAAGCCAGCGCAGATAGCTCGAAGACAGACAAGGCAAGTTCAAGGTTGAGAGCAACCTACATAATTTTGTTTCTGATAAAGTTGAAAAAAATCACAGCTTTCTATTGTATAAGTGGTAAAGGGAATTTATTGATAGTCTTAAATTCAAATATTATTTGAAGGGTCCTATCTAGATATGTTGATGCCCAATGAGTTGCTAGTAATATTTCATAATTATTTTTAGAAATGTTTGATATGTATGTTAGTAAATAAATTTTGTGTTTACAACATTCATATTTGAAGAGCTCCTTCTAATAATGCAAATGCACAGTGCTTTTAATTTTATATTTTTAAATAAAGTTTTTGGAAGTATTTAATTGGGCAAATAATAATTATACGTTTTCTTCTTATTAGAAATTGCAAATTCAAGAGAAAGCAGCACAGGAGGTAAAACTGGCCATTAAGCCCTTTTACCAAAATAAAGATATCACCAAGGAAGAATATAAAGAGATTGTACGAAAAGCAGTAGATAAAGTAAGTTATAGCTTTAGTGTAGTTCTGTATGTATTGTTTTGAAACATCTCTATTTTAATAATGGGATGCTTAAGTCTAATTAAAATAATAAGAGCTACCTTCTTCTAATTCTTGTCTGCTTTTTTAACTTTTGAATAAGTTCATATAAGATATGAAGAAACATGGAAAAATGTCTGGTTTGGGGTTGTTTTTCACAAAGCTTTCCATTTTATTCCTTTTAACTATGAAAAAAAAATTTCCCTCATTTTTTCATAGGTTTGTCATAGTAAGAGTGGAGAAGTCAATTCTACTAAAGTGGCAAATTTGGTTAAAGCCTATGTAGACAAATACAAATATTCACGGAAAGGAAGCCAAAAGAAAACTCTGGAAGAACCTGTGTCTACTGAAAAAAACATAGGCTGAAATGGAGAGCACTATAAGGACACTGTCAAGATATCTGCAAAGTGCAATTTCAACATATACCTTTAACTGAAAATCATACCTAACTGTGATTGAAATTTGGTTTTGATAAAATTATTTTTTTTAACGTAGGATATGTTTTGTTCAAAATAAATAATAGTTCTGCACTGTAACTTCTATATCCTTTCCTCCCCCACCCCCAAAAAGAGCAAATTCAAGGGAAACTAAAGGGGTTAAGGAATGCATTACTACTAGGACTGTTGCAGTGTGGATGTGGAAGATGTACATACAGCTTTTTTATTTCAACAATGGAGTGCACAAATTAGAAATTTCTAAGTGCACTGGTTTTGGAAGAGAGATATATATATATATAATACCTTTATTCTGTCAGGCTAAAAATAAAGTATGATCTATATGATTTTCCCCTCTAATTATAGAAAGTTAAGTAATGTATTACCATGAAAAATATTTCTAATAAGAGAACATACCAATTGCAGGATTCCTAATCTGTATTTTTAAAAGCACACATCTGAATAAATTGCTTTGCTAGAAAACAAGTGATCACATGAGTAAAACTCAGTGTTCAAAACTTTGGAACACTGTTGACCTATTGTATCACCAAATAAAGGGTATGCTGCTTGTTTTTCTTTGTGCCTTTTTTTCCCCCCCAGTTGAGATGAAGCTAGATTTACATTTGCTAGATTTACAGCTTTGGCAGTCTAAATTCTTTGTTGAATTTAGAAGATCAATGTGGAAAAGAGTGTTGACTTTGTAAAAATTGTTTTTTCATAATATTTCCTATCAGAGATGATAAATTATCTGTGCCAACCAGAGGACTGCAGTAAGTGGTGGCCACGATCCTCTCTTTCTTGGGACTACTGTAGAATTGAGACTCACTTCAGTGGCTTTCCGGTTGTTGTTCATTTGTCCAATCATCATGAAATTCTTTTCACACTTGAGATATCCAAATGTTTTACAATGAATGAAGTGTTAATTTGATGGCCATTAAGCATGTTGTAAAAAACTAGACATTCAAATCTGTGTTTTGGAAAGGGAGAGGAATTAAATAATGGAGTTTGGGTTAGGCCTTCAGGGACTAGGAATTTGGTTGTTTTTTTAAGTATTAGAATATGTTAATTTTTATAAAAGGTAAGTTAAAAGTATTAATAGTACCATTATTTTAATTGGCATTTTGGAAGAAAACAAGAGTTGTCTCCATGATAATCTGTCTTTAATTCTAGTAACAATTTTCAGTAGATACCAAATAACTGGAAAGCTATTCAGACAAAGATAGATATATGGCTCAATGAAACAGGCTGACCCTTTTACTAGCTAAACTAGCAAGAGCAATACTCTGTGGGACTGTGCTTTTCTGAAATAAAGATTGTGTTTCTCAATTTTATGTGCATAATACTTTCCTGGTGCTAGCTTTGATAGGCAAAATATTTTGAAATGATGGCCCAATAGTGATTGTGCTAGTTCATAATCTTTAATAGATTATGAGTATAATCCCCAAAAGTATTAGAAATATTTCCAAGCAGCTTTTGATCCTTATTCTGCATTTTTGGGCATTTGTAATATGGTATTCTACTGATTTATATATATTTTTAATTAAAGTTTGTGTTTAGATTATGGGAAAGTGTAGAAGTATATTTCTTCTAATAAAATATTAAGACAGTATTTTAAATATCAATGCACACATCCTCACTTGTTTCGGTTTTGAGCTCTAGAAACAACTGTGTTAACTTTAAATCTATTTTGAGTTAAAGCTGGTTCACACTTTGAAAATTTTGTAGCAAATTGCCTAAGCCAATTAATCACACAATGCCTACTTTTCCTTTGTTTTTTTTTCAGTGACTTTTGGGATGTTGGTGACATTTTAAAATTTGCTTTACTATTTATCCTTTGGAAACATGTTTAAAATAAATTTTAAAGAAAAACTAGGTGGTGTGATCAAATCTCAGATGTTTGGCAGCACTGTCATGAATTATTTTCCACCTTTCCTGAAAATAAGGTGTAATCCATATCTGGTTGACGTACTGGTTAGAACGCATTTAGAATAGCTAATGAAGAATGCTACTGCATTAGAATTCAAACTTTTACAACTTTGAAATATTTGAGAACGTATTAGAAAGTGCATGCTTTATGATAAAAAATACATTGCTTTAACATTCCCCATTCTTGGTTTTTCAGAAATTTATATTAATTTTGCATGTGTGCAAACTTAAAAAATATTTTGTGGTGTTACAGATTTCTCTTATTTATGAAGATTCAGTATTAACTTGACCTTTGAAACCTTGTCCCTTTAACTTACTATTCACATTGACCAATGTTTTAAGAGGTAGGGATGTCTAGAATTTTGAGACTGAAGGTAGTTATTATTTGAACATTCCAAAAGTTTTGTGATTTTTTTTCCTGGTAATTACCACATTTTCTTCATCACCTTCCTTTAAATGACCACAGTATGTACTGCTTGAATGTTCCATCAAAAAGGTGTAGTTTCGGGAGCACAGGGGTGGTTGCCCATGGTCCATGACACATTGTTTGTAGTGTGAGGATGGAGTGCTGTCTACTGAAACAATGCTCTTAAACAGATATGTAGTATGTAATATTTTCTAATAAATTCTTTTGATAAACAAAGTAGTGTCTTTAACATTTTATTAAGATTCCTGGGAAATGGATTTTTATTTCATAACTCTTTCCAAACATTTGTTGAAGTATTTCTTGGATTTGCACCAAAGTAACTAGCATCATAGTTACTTTAATGTCCAAGTTGTAAAGCAAGACTCGAGTTAACTACAAGCATCTGTTTTAACAGCATTTTTCCTAATTACATAATCATTACAGGAAATTAGAAACACTTTAGTAAATAAAAAAATCCAGAAAGACAGAAGAAACGGAATAGCAAAAGGAGAAAAATCGCCTGTGATTGTACCATTTAAAGGTAACAACTATTAACACTGATCAAATTGCACATAATTGTTGTAAGTCCTCCTTTTCACTTAAAGATGTATTGAAGAGTTGTTTTAATAAAAACTGTAGAGTGTGATTTTTAATGGCTATATAGTGTTATATTATATAGATATTAGAGGCCTGGTGCATGAAATGTGTGCACGGGTAGGGTCCCTAGGCCAGGCCAGTTGGGGCCTTCCGTTTTGTGCTGACCCCTGGTGGTCAGCACAAGTCATAGTAAGCAATAGAACTCCCGGTCAAGCTCCCGCGGGGCCACTTTGCATATTAGCCATATATAATATATATATATATATATATATATATATATATATATATATATATTCCTTAAACAGCTTCTGTTAGATATTGGTTTTTACTAATATAATTAAATTAGTAAAATATAAATTGTACTAATATAAATAAGACTGATAGAAACATCTGACTATACAAATTGTACCCATTTCAGATTGTTTTCTGGGGATTAACTCCTAGAAGTAGGATACCTTGGTCAATCAGTTATTTTCCCATATATTTTAAGATGTAATTATATACATACACTTAATATATAATTTTTAAAAGTTCAGTTATAGTTAGTATAAAACTCCATTTTCCTAAGCTGGTTTTTCTATCCAGAGAGAACCATCAGAAAGATATTTTTCTTTATGTTTCCATACTCTTCAGCACATTTACAAAAATACTTTTTGAGGTTCCGGGATAATCAGTTACCCCAGCGCATAAATTATATTCTGTAAACTGTTCTACATCTCTTGTCCCCCTTAAGAAATTGAAGATAGCCCTAGCTGGTTTGGCTCAGTGGATGAGTGTTGGTCCTGTAGACCAAAGGGTCCGGGTTCAGTTCTGGTCAAGGTCACATACCTTGGATGCAGGCTCCTCCCAGGCCCTGGTCGGAGCTCATGCAGGAGGCAACCAATTAATGTTTCTCTCCCATCGATATTTCTGTTTTTCCCTCTCTCTTCCACTCTCTAAAAAAAAAAAAAAAATTGAAGATGTAGTCTGTCACCCATGTCTATTTTATAATGGTTCTATTGTTCTTTGGTTGATGAGTAACTTTTGGCTATTAGAAACAATGTTAATGAACATCCTTTTTGTCTATGAGGTTACATTGAATTTCAGGATATTCACATTTTAATTTGGATAGATGTCAAATTGCTCTCTAAGAGAAGTATACTAATTTATAGTTCCACCACAGTTCCTGAGCTTCATAAAGGGGACATATGTAATAATTTCAACAGATTTTTTTTTTTTAAATCCTGAAAATGTTGAGGAACAAATCTGGCCAAAGAGTCGGCTAACAGTTCAAACTAGACAGTAGCATGGATAGTAGTTGACTGGAAACTGGTTTCAAGTTAGCATAATCTTCTGCCTAAGAAATGTTCCTTCTTTAAGGGAATTCCCAGAAAGTTTTGTTGGCTCTAAAAAGTGGAGTGGTGTCAAATTAATAAATGAAATACGTGGAAAATAAACCTGAGGAATTATGGAAAACTTTAGAAAGATAACAAAATGCATTGGAAGAAAATACTTAATGGAACTAGTGAAGCAAATACAAAAATAATGATTGGCACCCAAAATTGGTGTCTTGTATGTACTAGCAACCTGACTCCCCAGGGAAAGAATTCTAGTTTTTCTCTATAATTGGGCTGTGTGTGTGCTGGTGAAATGGCTCCACTTAACTTGGCATATGACCTTAGTCAAGGTACTTACTATTCTAAACCCTCCATATCCCACTTATAACACAACTATTACATTGGGTTGTTAAGACTGATATGATACATGTAAAAGGCTTAACACAGTGACTGGCAGAGGGAAGTGCTTAGCAAATGTTAGTGACCAGCATAAAGCGTGGAAACCACTTAAATGTTCATCAATAAGGGGTCTAGTTAAATAGATCATGGTACACCCATAAAATGGAGCTCTTCATACCAATATGGAAAAATCTTAAGATTTTCAGTTTTTAAAAAAAGTACAGCAGTGTTAATGGTATGAAATACTTTGTGTAAAAATGAGAAAAAATCCTAATTGCTTGTATGTAATCAATACCAGAGATGTACTGCAGAGATATGATCAGTGGTTATCTGGCAATGGGGTGGGATCCAGCAGGTGGGAGAGGGTTTGGAGGGGGACTTCTCATTGACTGTCTCTTGAATTTTTAAAAAATTTATTGATTTCAGAGAGGGAGGGAGGGAGAAACATCAATGATTAGGATCATTGATTGGCTACTTCCTGTATGCACCCCACTGGGGATCAAGTCTGCAACCTGGGCATGTGCCCTAATCGGGATTCGAACTCTGTGACCTCCTGGTTCATAGGTCAATGCTCAACCACTGAGCAACACCCGCCAGGCCCTCTTGAACATTTTGATTATTGATTTGCATGGTTGTTATCACCTACTCACAAAGGATACTTTAAAACAGTGGTTCCCAACCTTTTTTTTGGCCATGCCCCACCAAAGCATCTCTAAAATTCTGATGCTCACTCCTGTGACATATAGTTCTTATTATTCAAAAAGTGAACTCCTATTCACATGGAGGAAGCCTAAAAGGTCATTAACTTGGTCTAAATAAGCTTCCAAAGAATATAGCATCCATGAAAGAGAAAAATAAAAGAACAAAAGGACAGTTGAAGTACTGAGGAAGAATACTAGGAAGTGATATGAAAAAATAGCAAAGTTTCAAAACATAATAGAGAACCGAAATGCATAAATGTCACAATATATATTTATATACTGTATGTGAGGCCCCTAGAATCATAAGTGCAAAAAATTCAGTTATTAATTCATTCTCAAATTGCCCCCCTTAAAAATCAAATCGTCGTCCTTTGAGGCTTGGGCCCCACGTTGGGAACCACTGCTTTAAAAACTTCATTTCAGACTGAAATCCACAGTAACCAGGACTTAATGGCAGGTTTTTCTCTTAATATTTAAGTACAGTAGGTTCTCAAGTAATGTTTTGAGATGCCGTAGGAACTTGTTTTTATTAGCTTGTGGTAAACTGGTTTCGGTATACAGGTCATTTCACCCCAGTTCCAAGAACCCATTGAGAACATTGAGGACTTAACTGTAGTCTTAGAGCAGTGGTTCTCAACTTCCTAATGCCGCGACCCTTTAATACAGTTCCTCGTGTTGTGGTGACCCCCAACCATAAAATTATTTTCGTTGCTACTTCATAACTGTAATTTTGCTACTGTTATGAATCGTAATGTAAATATCTGATATGCAGGATGTATTTTCATTGTTACAAATTGAACATAATTAAAGCATAGTGATTAATCACAAAAACAATATGTAATTATATATGTGTTTTCCGATGGTCTTAGGCAACCCCTGTGAAAGGGTCGTTCGACCCCCAAAGGGGTTGTGACCCACAGGTTGAGAACCCCTGTCTTAGAGGAACCAAATCTGCTCACCTACCTATGTGACAATGTGCCTCAGCCTTTCTAAGTTATGCATAGTGCAATCCTATAACTAATTTTTAACAATAGAAGCATTTGCTCCTTTTCTTATGAAATGAGGATTCACAAATGCAACTAGTTTTGCAAATATCAAGGTAGTAGAAAAAGCCATGGCTGTAATGTAACTAGCAAGTTAGTACTGTCTTCATTTGTTTTGCTGCCTTAAGAGAAAGTCGTTAAAACTCTGAATATCTGACTGCATTGTGTGCTATGAAGAGTTTAAGTAATATGAGAGTGATTGATAAGCCAAATTTTCCTTGGATAAACACTGGATTTTTTTCTCTTTTAAATACTATTTGATCAAAATGATCCCAGCATCAAGCGCCAGGTGCCCATGTGGTTAATGCCATAGCTGTGCTCCTGCTACTTCACCGCTTCTGTTTTGTGGAAAAAGTCTCACCATGCTTCCTTGGTGTCTAATACTCAATCACAGTGATCAAGATCACAACAGAAGTCACTTATCCAAAACATTCTCATTTTAAAAATCATTTTTATTGTCATTTTATGGTTAAAAAAACATACATGGCATGACTATAAAGTAATGAGACAAGTTTCCATGTGTGGCTTGAACTACTGAGTCTCATTAGTATATAGTCACATCCTATCTCGAACTTGGAAGAAAAATATGCCTTGGCTATATGATTATCAATTTTGTTACTTAAAATTTATTGAGTGCCAACAGAGCACTAGGCACGTATATAACACAGAATTGTACAGTCTCTAAGTTGTAGACTATATAATTTACATAGATTTCTTAAAGATAACATTAAAGCATGTATTTACAGAACTTTAGACAAAAATAACAATACTGGAAATCAGCAAGTTTCTGTCTAGCGAGGAGCACCTTTTCATGAATGAGAGGGTTACGCAGAACTTGTGCGTGAGCACTTTAATTCCATTACCCAGCAAGTCCATGTTATTTCATTATATAGTTATATAAAGCTATAAGAAGAAAAGCCTAAGTGGAAAGCCATAATTGGTTTCATTAGGTCAAATACATATTTAGAAAATTCTCTGCTGAGACCAATGCTTCAAGGAGACTACAGACGTATTTACATATTATAGCACAAAAGCTAGAACTATGGCATGCGATTCCAATAAGGTGGAAGAATGGTGAATACGAAAATCATTTTTCTAAACCTGGTTTCTTTTCTATTAATTTACCATAGCAGTCTTAATTTGCAAAGAAACATACCTTTAAAACAAATGATGTTACACAAAATTATTGATGTTACACAAAATTATGTTAGAAAAATTCAAGAGATTTTTAGGTAAATACAATGAATAGAAAATTCTCCAACTGACATCCACCATTGGTAGCCTTGTAAGTTTTGGGGGCTTGAGAGTGATTGTAGTGTTAACCACAGCATCTCCGGTGTGTCTATAGGCAGCCCTAATATTGGGAGGTGAGCCAAGAATAAACCCCACAACCCTAGGCAATAATCGTGACCAATGTTGGAGGAAAAGTTTCCTAAGCATTCATTAATACATGGCAGAGTGCCAGGGAGCCCTCTTTAGGGAGAAATGAGATTCTCCTTTGCTAATAGTTGAATCAAAATAGTGAAGAAAATTTTTTAGATCCAAACTAAGGCCCTTTTACTCTCAGAAGCTGCTCCCAAATTCAAGTTGAGTACTTGGATGCACTGTGGTTCTGAATGATTTGTCAAAGAAACAGTGTCAAACAATAATCCGGGTTTGCCTTGCAGTCTAATGGAAAATAAATACTCTGAATCTCCTGCCTATCTCCTGCACTCTCTCAGTAAAGGAACTCTCTTAGCTATTCTCTGTTCAATGTATTATAAATCAACGTACATCAAATAGGTGACTGGCCCTTGCCTTCTGCTGAATTTTTAAAGAATGTCTTAACCATACTCAGAAATGAAGGACTCAAGAAAATGTTCAGTCTTTTATTTAAAAACTATAAACAGTCACCAAAGTAAATAAAGCCATTCTATAACATAACTGTTAGGTCTCTATTTTTACTGCACATCCTAATGACACAGCAGAAATGGTGGCTGGAGGCCTTCCACACTTTTGGGTGCTAATAGAACAGGCAATAGGCAGTTATAAATGGATACATGTCACGCTGAGGAGAAAAGACAATTTAATAAGGAAGTGAGCAGTTTCTGAGCAGGAATGTGATACAGTATTAAGAATGGAAGAATAATACAATAAAATTCCACACTATATTAAGATAGAAAAAGTAGTGAAGAAAATATCATACCTGCACATAATGCATATATAACACAGGAGAAAACCTGTATAAAATTCCATGTATTTAAACCAATTTACAAATACAAAAAAATTCTGTCCAAGCTTTGAGCTTGCACACGACAAACGTTTACAGTGGATACATGTTAGGGAAAACCAAAAAATACCTTCAAATAGTTTTTCTTCTACAAAAATGACATGAGATATATTATTCATTACTCTTTCAGCCAGCAAAATGAGTTCTAACAAGGTGTATAATACAAAAAAAGAAAAGGAAAAAAAAATCACAGTTCCACAACTGTTTTGACTTTACAGCATCAGTACCTTTGCAGAAGTATTTACACAAATTTAAAGAACATTCATCCACTGCGTAGAATATATCACAATTACTTACAATTGACAGGAAAGTCTAGAAAACTTTAGGACCTACCAGTAATGCTTCTAGGACACCACAGAATGTATTTCCAGTGGCTGCAGTGGCATGAAAGGTGTTCATTCTATTCACAAATATTTACAGGATCTATTCAGACTGGTAAATTTTTATGATAATAAATAAGTGAAAATATATTGGCTCAAGTAAGAAAACCAAGCTACTGATTTCTAAACAAAACACACAATCCATATCTAGATATTAGTGGCCCCCTTGGAGATACGGGGTATAGGTGTGCTGAAACTTTTTTTTTTAATTATTCAAACCAGCTTAAACGGTTTTGTAAATATAAAAATGTGCTCCTTTTTGGATATAGATAAAAATATTTAATGCTTCTATTTCATCTGCTCATGTAGGTTTTACAATATTCCATGTATATTCCAATGTGGATGGTACTGAATTCTGATCATACCAGTTTCCATCAGGACTTATCAGATCTGAGAGACATCCTGCAGATAAGCTGGTTGACAATCCCACAGCAGTTTTTTTTTTTCTTTTTCTTTTTAGATTTTTTTTAAAACAGAACAAAGGGATCACTCAGGGATCAGAATACGAAGCTTCCTCTCAGCATCATGGGAGGAGATAAAATAATTCATTCTATGGTCTCTGCTCCATTAAGACTTGGTGCTTTCTTCAGTAACATGTGAAATGTATCTGACTTTGAGTTCCCCACTACAGAAGTGGAATTATTTTTCACTGCAGCATTTCTGAGTCTTTTTCTTGTTCTTTACTCTGAACTGTAAAGTTAAGTTCGTAAAGGCATTTGGCAAGGGTGGAGGACGCTTCCATGTTACTAATGGCTAGCACTGATAGGTTGTTTTCATGTCTCTTTAACAATCTGGAAGAAAACAAAGAAGTTTATCAGCATCCAAGGTCCCAGAGATGATTCCTTGCGGACTTTGCAAGTTTAAAAACTAAAATTTTAAACGACATAATACAGAGTCCCACAGTAAATGTAGATATAAAATTGCTGGAAGATAAAAAGGAATTTGGGAAACTAGTTAAACCTATTCAATTTACAAAGTAAACTGAGCCAACCTGAGGCACCTCAAATGGAAATGACTTTCTAGCTACTTAAATAGTAGTGTCAGAATTAGGCAACTTCTTGGCTTGTTTTTTCTTCATGGTACCTTTCTAAATACAGGACACCACATAGAATAATTTGCATTAATCTCCATTCATGCTTCTAGAAAATTCAGGCAGTATCTCTACAAGAGTGAAATTCATAGAATCAAAGAGTGGAATGGTGGTTGCCAGGGGCTGGGGGGAGATGGAAATAAGGAATTACTAATCAATGGGAATAAGGTCTCAGTTAAGCAAGATGAAAAGCTCTAGAGATCTGCTGTACACTTTGTACCTCTAGTCCAGTGGTTGCCAACCTTTTGGACCTCATGGACCTTCAGTGGTCCACGGACCACCGGTTGGCAACCGCGGCAACAAGAATGTACTGTACACCTAAAAATTTGTTAAGAGGACAGATCTCATCCTAAGTGTGCGTAACTCAATAAAAAAATTTAAAAAATTCAGATCCTGTCAGAAAACAGTTGGAGGGAAACAAAATGGTTGCTTTTAAGAGATTAATTGAAAATAAAAATTAGGTCCTAGTATGATAAAGTTTCTTTCTCTTCATTAAGTAAAAACAGGCAACATTTACCTTAACTATTATTTGAACACCACAATATTCCATAAAAGAAACTGGTTTTTAAAAAATTTACAAACTTACTGCGTGGTTCCACTTATATGCAATAAAAATTGTAAATATATTTTTTCTTTATTATTTTCTTAATTTTTTTCTCTAGTTTATTATAGGAATATTGTATTGTATATAACATATAAAATCTGTGTTAATCGACTGTTTATGTAAGGTTTCCAGTCAACACTAGGCTATCAGATTTTTAAAATATATATATTCTTATTTATTTGAGAGAGGAAGAGAGAGGAGAGAAGGATGGAGACATCAATGATGAGAGGGAATCATTTATCAACTGCCTCCTGCATGCCCCCTACTGGGGATCAAGCCTACAACTCGGACATGTGCCCTGACCAGGAATCAAACCATGACCTCCTGCTTCATAGGTCAATGCTCAACCACTGAGCCACACTGGCTGGGCTATTAGATTTTTGAGGGAGTCAAAAGTTTATATGCTGATTTTCAACTGTGCAGGGGAGGGGGGAGGGAGACCAGGGGGTTTAGGGGGTGTGCTCAACGTTCCTAACCCCCACGTTGTTCAAGGGTCAACTGTATTACTAAACTATCAATGGTAAAAGCTAGGTGATTGGTATATACTAGTAAGTGTTCACTACAAAATTATTCCAGGTTTGCCTTATGTGTGAAAATTTTCACATAACATGTTAGAAAACAGCATGAGATTATCCAAGAACTTTCAGTGCCTTCATTAAAATAATCCTGGGTAAAAGGAACTGAAAGTGAAAAGGAGGGAGATGAAGACTTCTAAATTTTGAATGACAAACATTATAAGGAAGCAATAAATGGGAAAAGAGAAATTCAAAGCCAAAATTTTAACATGTGGGGACTGTAGTAATTTTTACCATAGCATAGCAAAGCACAGCAAAATAACTATAAAAAATTTGAGATTCACGACTAAGGAATTGAGCATTTTTCTGGCTATTTGGGTATTTGCTTTTATGTAGTTTCCATATATAGATACTCCATAGACTGAAAAAAAATGACTAAAATTAAACATTAAAATTATAATATCAAATATTGATCAGTATGTGGAGTAACTGAGACTCATACATTGCTGTAGGGAGTGATAAAACCTCTGGAATTATGTACTAAAGTTCTAATATCCTATGAATCACCAATCCTTCATAAAAGCTCAATAGAAATATGTACATATATGGCCAAAAAACATGTATAGAATGTTCACAGCAGCATTCTTAATAGCCTCAAACCGGAAACAACCCACATGCCCATCAAAAGTAGAATAAAATAAATTTGAGTATATTTATGCAATAGAATTCTATACTGCGATAATATGAACAAAGTACAGCTATATGCAATAACATGAATAAGGCTCACAAACAATGCTGAGTGGAAAGAAAAGTAAGAGAATATATACTATATGATTCTACTTATGTAAAGTTCAAAATCAGGCAAAATTCATCTGTGGTGTTTACAGATGAAGAGTGATACTCCAGAAGACGATGGGATTAAGACTTGCGGGGATTCAAAGGGGCTCTGTGGTACTGATGCTGTTCTATTTTTTTCTTTTTTTAAATATATTTTTATTGATCTCAGAGAGGAAGGGAGAGGTAGAGAGAGAGAGAAACATCAATGATGAGGGGAGAAACCGAAGATGGCGGCGTAGGTAAACACCGGAGACCGCTGCCGCATACAACCATTTCAAAAATACAACTAAAAGACGGAACGGACATCACCCAGAACCACAGGAAGGCTGGCTGAAGAGAGACTCTACAACTAGAAGGAAAGAGAACAGCAAACCGAGGCTCAGAGGAGGCGCAGTGTGGAAAATACAAAGGTACCGAGGTGCGCGCGAAAGCGGGCTGGTGGCTGAGGGCGCGGTTGTCGTTTTCGGTCGGAGTGAGTCTCAGACTCTGGGCTCCAGATCCGGGCGAGTCTCTAGGGATTCAGACTCAGACGGGAGAAGCGGGATTATCCGGCATCAGTTGGAACCTGAGGGCAGCTTTCTCTCCGAGGTTTGCAGCGGCTGCCGGGGTTCTGAGAAGCAGAGCCTCTGGGAACGGGACTGAGAGCGGCCATAACTGCTCCCTCCGCCCGCCCTGTTGAGCCCGCCCCGCCCAGGCTCTGCGCACAGCATTTGCCGATCGCCTCAGGCAAAGGCTGGATTAGCGCCTTCCCAGAAGACAGACGTTTTCCACACAGCTAATTCCTACAGCCAGTCGGCCTGGTGGTCAAATCCCTCTAGTGTTAACTACAACAATTAAGGCTTGGCTAGAACAAGACTGCGCACAAAGACCACAAGGGGGTGCACCAAGAAAGCATAAAAGATGCGGAGACAAAAAAACATGACAGAAATGGAGGATATGGAGCTAAGAATCGCAATTTTGAGGGCTTGCTATAAACTTGAGCAGAGCCTCACGAAAACTAATGAGACCCTCGATGCTACGATAAAGAAATTAGAAAGTAAGCATACACGGACTGAAATAAAGAATATTATACCCAATAGCAGACCAGAGGAGCACAAGAATCAAACCAAAGATTCGACAAAAAACACCCAACTGGAAAAGCAAAATGAAAAAAGAATCCGAAAGTGTGAAGATAGTGTAAGGAGCCTCTGGGACAGCTTCAAGCGCACTAATATCAGAATAATAGGGGTGCCAGAAGATGAGAGACAGCAAGATATTGAAAACCTATTTGAAGAAATAATGGCAGAAAACTTCCCCCACCCGGTGAAAGAAATGGACTTACAGGTCCAAGAAGCGAAGAGAACCCCAAACAAAAGGAATCCAAAGAGGACCACACCAAGACACATCATCATTAAAATGCCAAGAGCAAAAGACAAAGAGAGAATCTTAAAAGCAGCAAGAGAAAGAGACTCAATTACCTACAAGGGAATACCCATACGACTGTCAGCTGATTTCTCAACAGAAACTTTGCAGGCCAGAAGGGAATGGCAAGAAATATTCAAAGTACTGAATACCAAGAACCTACAACCAAGATTACTTTATCCAGCAAAGCTATCATTCAGAATTGAAGGTCAGATAAAGAGCTTCACAGATAAGGAAAAGCTAAAGGACTTCATCACCACTAAACCAGTATTATACGAAATGCTGAAAGGTTTCCTTTAAGAAGAGGAAGAAGAAAAAGGTAAAGATACAAATTGTGAACAACAAACATGCATCTATCAACAAGTGAATCTAAGAATCAAGTGAATAAATAATCTGATGTACAGAATGAACTGGTGATTACAATGAATCAGGGACATAGAAGGGGAATGGACTGACTATTCTTGGGGGGGGGGGGAAGGGGAATGGGAGATGCGGGAAGAGAATGGACAAAAATCGTGCACCTATGGATGAGGACAGTGGGTGGGGAGTGACGGCGGAGGGTGGGGCGGGAACTGGGAGAAGGGGAGTTATGGGAAAAAAAGAGGAACAAATGTAATCAGAACAATAAAGATTTAATTTAAAAAAAAAAAAAAAAGAAACATCAATGATGAGAGAGAATTATTGATTGGCTGCCTCTTGCATGCCCCCTATTGGAGATCGAGCTCAGGCATGTGCCCTTGACCGGAATCGAACCTGGGACTCTTCAGTCTGCAGGCCACCACTCTGTCCACTAAGCCAAACCAGCTAGTGCAATGCTGTTATATTTCTTAACTTGGATGGATGGTTATAAGGGGGTTCATTCTGTGATAATTCATTGGGCTTTACACTTCTGTTTTATACTCTTCTTTAGACATAACTTATTTCACAAGTTTATTTAACAACTCTTTAAATGAACTATGAAATTTCTATGAAAGTCATAAAAATCTTTATTTAAAAATAGCATACAAAGTAGAATCAAAATATTTCGCCTTTATAAATTAAGACACTTTGACAAAGAAAAACATTGTTTCAAAATCTTAAAATCATATTTTCCAAACTGACAGTTGCATATTAAAAAGTATTCTTTGTTTTATTTTTATGTCACATGTATAAAACTAGAAACACTAAATTTAAGTCACCAGGATGATTTTAAGGTAACAATTTCACTTAAAAATTTTTTTTTTATTATTGATTTCAGAGAGGAAGGAAGAGGGAGAGAGAGAGAGAAACATCAATGATGAGAGAGAATCACTGCCTCCAGCACACCTCACACTGGGGACTAAGCCTACAACCTGGGCATGTGCC